AATAAAATTGGGGGAGGGAAAAGTGTATACCCTAACATACACGGATGATGATGGCAGAGGAAGAGGACGGGTTGAGGAGTATGATGGAGAGGTTGGAGAGATATTTGGACGGGAAAAGGTTAGAACTGAATACGAGTAAGACGAAGATTATGAGATTTAGATCGGGGGGTGGAAGGGTGGGGAAAAGGAATTGGAGATGGAAAGAAAAAGCGATAGAGGAAGTAAAGGAATTCCGGTATCTAGGGTATACACTACAAAGAACTTGGGAGACAAGAAGCACATATAAGGGACATGATAAGGAAAGCAGAAGCGATAATGGGACAAGTGTGAGAAATAGGGAAAAAAGATATATGTAGGAGACTGGGATAGAAAAATATGCAGGCTATTCGACAGACTTTTAGACAATATTGGGATATAGGGTGGAAATATAGGGTTGGGGAGGGAGGGAGGAAATAGAAAATATGGAAGAAAGATATTTAACAAGGGAACCTCGCGAAGTGTCAAATTCTGATTTTAATGAAACTTGGTACACTTTGAGGTCACATAAATAAATGAATTTAGAAGTTTTTAGTTGGTGCTAAAAAACGGTTTAAAGGGATAAATCCACCCCTTATATGTAAATTAATTCTTTTTTTCTTTCGTTATATCTCGAAAACTATTCAAGATATCAAAAAATGTTGCATACAAAAGTTTTACAGTAAAATTGTCTGTAAAAACAGTAAAATTGTAATTGACGTAAATGAATAAAAACAATTTTACTATAAAACTTTTGTATACAACATTTTTTGATATCTTGAATAGTTTTCCAGATATAACGAAAGAAAAAAAGAATTAATTTACAAATAAGGGGTGAATTCATCCCTTTAAACCGTTTTTTAGCACCAACTGATAATTTCTAAATTCATCTATTTATGTGACCTCAAAGTGTACCAAGTTTCATTAAAATCAGAATTTGACACTTCGCGAGATTCCCTTGTAAGAAAGATAGCCGAAACGTCTGACTTTAGAATAAAGCAAATTTCATATAAATCAATTAGTGCGTACCAATAATCACGCTGATTCCCATCTGCCTTACTTATGTATTTATAAACACGATGTTTACTGCGTCTATTATTAGTAAAATATGATTAAATATTATGAAGTAATATTAAAGCATTAAAAAACAATAGCTGTAATTGGAATGTCTTCGACAATACTCATGGCATTAGTGCCATTATCTAGTAAAACCCTCAAAACTAAATCACACTTCTAATAATATTAGAAATAATGAATATGTCTAGAACATGGATCAAACATCTCTGTGCTTCCTCGCGTGCCCATCTGTTATAACGACGATGGCGCGCATCTGTTCTGCGCGAGTTATTTGGGCTCTTGGGTTTTCTGCCGTTTATGTAAAGATGGTACTCGCAGTATGCCACTAAAAGTTCACCCTGTCTAATGGACGCATTACAATAGCGAAACTCAAGTCCCCCCTCCCCCCCCCCTCTCTCTCTCTGTGATTTTTAGAGCTCAATAAAGAATGACCCAAAAAATCCGTCTTTTGAACGTTCGATTTTGAGACTGAACTGTATGCTAAATGATACCTGATTAATGAGACATTAATTAATTAATAGAGAAGTTTCAAGTTGAAGTGACAATTGTTATCAGAGCTGGAGGAGGGGGGATGAAATCAAAGTTTGTTATGGAATTATTACAGGTCTGCGAGGTCCGGTATTTTAAAAAGGTTGATCCAGCCGATGAAAATGGATTGCAGTTTTAAATGATGCTCATTTTGGATTTAAAAAATCGAGTTTTCGCGTAAAGAGATATAATAAGAGACCTCCCTCCAGCTGTGAAAACAATTGTCACCTCAACCTGAAACTTCTTTGTGATTAATATCTCATTATAAGATACCATTTGGCACACAGTCCAGTTAAAAAAACGGGCAAAAAAACTACCTTTTGTTGGGTCACTCTTTGCAATATTAATAAATGTAAAAAAATAGAACGATTTTTTATATTTAATAACAAAAAATGAGTATATGAGTCGGGTTTTAAAATGAGTGTGGTAAGTAGTAAGTGGTAAGTGGTTATAGAGAAAGAGTAATTTAGGTGGATCTGAGAAGATGCCACGGGTCTGAAAGCTAACCGAAATAGCAGAAATGGAAACTGCTACAGATCTGGTTGTTAAAACTAGTCCATAGTAGCAAGAATAGGAAGTGTTACGTCTACAATCCACGTAGTCGTATAAATCTTAGAATTTACGGCACAACCCTGAAACTTCAAAATTTTAAAGTTTCTCCGCGTTATCATTCATGTTCAGCGCGTATAACTAATGCGAATATTTGCATCGCGTTATGAAACGAACGATTCAAGCATTGTTACGATGGCAAACGGAGGAAGCGCAGGCAGCGCAAGATTTTGGCAATCCGCGTGCGGGAGTTCTATTTCATTGTGTTTTGGAGAACTGACAACCCCGATGTTTCGAACGAAACGTGAAAAATGAACGTGCTGACCGATGTAAAAGAACGAGAAACGTATCGATGAGGACGCCGCATTTTAAACGCGTTTCAAGCAGCATGTCGCCATCCGCAGCGATCATAAAGTTCACATCGCGAACGTCGACGGTCCGCATTCATTTTTTACATCGGCTCTAAATAACGCAAGAGCTTGCAAAGTGCACTTGTCGTACTTTTACCGCCGACGGAGACAGAATGTTGATCAAGTTTCATTAGCGCATGCAACTTTGCTACACACACGACTGCGGCTGCGGCTGCAACTCTATAACTCTAGAACAGCAAAACTTAATCTCGGTATATATTTCTACGATACCATCTTGAGCGAGCTTTCTCTATCTTTTCAGGTGGATGAGCGGGGACTGGAGTGCGTGCAGCGCGAGCTGCGGCGGCGGTTCGCGAACAAGGTCCGTCTTCTGCACTGAGGAGAACGGGAACGAAACCACGAAGGTAAATCCGGGGAGAGAGGCTCTTCAATAATAAAGTTTTCGTTTAGTCGAGTTTTCTCCTCGACCCTATGACGATTCTCGGTGGAGTTCGAGAAATTACTTATCTCTTAATAACGCGAAACGTATACACTCGGATTTCGATTTCGTGTTATATTTAATATCGTGGAACAGTCGTGCAATGACTGTCGATATTATTGGCACTTGTCTTAAACTTGACGCACTGTTATTTACCTCATTGTTACTCTTTATTATTTCATTTAATGAATACCATTAGTTATCCATCTTCTTTCTAATTATCACAGAATTATCGTCAGGGACAGAATGAAATTTTTCACAAAATATGTATTTGTTCACGTTTATGCGAAAAGCCTTCTAGTTTGAGATATCATAATTAAATTGTTGAAATTTGTGTAACGACGCGGGAAATCAATACAATCATGTGCCGACGGTAACGCGCGGCTTTCCGCAAAGCCGCACGGAGTGCGTCGCGCGTTTGCCCTCCAGAGAGATGTCAACGCGGCGCGACGGCGGCGCTTTTTACGATGTAAAGACAAATAAATCTTTCTGGAATAAATCTGCCAGGAGCGACGGAATCAGCGTTACGCGTGCACACGATAAAACGCCACATTTTTCACATTTCGCCACTGACGTTAGACACGGCCGTAATTCCGCCACGCTTCCGCGCGGACGGAACGTTAACCATTCCTCTCATCTCCGAGAATTTTATACCGTACTTTCGTACTTGTCTGCGAGCCGCATTTACATATACGCAGTCCCTGTCCCGCTTCCCGTGTCGACGGGGTCTTGGAAGATCCCACGATCCCTAACCCAGTTCGGTTCGTTTAAACTCGAGGAGCTGCTCTCCGCGAGTACACGCCGTCGCTCACCGTAAAACCTCCCCCGTCCGACAGATCTGACGCACACGTGTACGTGCGGCAATGTGTACGTTCATATCTCGCGGTTGTGTCCTGCGCAGCCTACAACTCCAGACATCTTTCGAGAATTTGTGCAGCATATTTATGACTGATTTTTCCCAGATAAAATATTTATATCGCGATTTTTGAAACATTAGCATTAAATATTTTGATCATTATTCTTGAAATTAAATCTGCCGAGTTACGATTCAATTCTCGTGTTTATTAATTAGCGAGGAACTCTTCAGTGTCGAATAATTCTGTCGATGTTACGTCAACTCATTAACTTATCGTCTAATATTTATGATGTAAAATATTTCAGTTTTTCATGTAAAGAACGGCTTTGATGAAATATTTATAAATTTAGCTAAACAGAAAAAAAAGGAGTAAGATGACGACCTTAAAATTTATCAACGTTTCATAATTTCTGTGATAACATAAAAATAATGATCAATTTTTTTCAGATTCACTAAAGTCTTGCATCTGGAAAAGTTATAAACTGTTAAATAAATTTGAATTTTTTAAATTTAGATTTTTATAAACGTATTAATTTTGTCGCCTTGCTCTTTCGTCAATCATATATATCAACTTATTTAACGTAATCACGTTTACAATGCACATTGCATGTACAAATATGTCACCTTGCCTATATACATGATGTTTGTCATCTTAGGTCCCATTTACAATGTTCATTTAGCCATTTAACAGAAATGTTAATGCAATACAAAAAATTAAAAACATTAGTATTATTCTATATATTCTTAGTTATAATATACTCTGATTTTATAGAAAATGGAAGTATTTACTATAATTGTGTTTTTTTTTAAACAAACATTAAAATGTTACATATGAATGCACTTAAAATATACTTCTCATTATATATTATCCACTTTTGTAGATAGATTAAAATCAAAAATTTATACAAGAGACCATTTATTATTGACTTAAGTCTTTAATGAGTTCAGCTTCGGCATTATTTATTATTAGCTTAGAAAATTTAGCAATTTGTCATCTTATCCACTTCATTATCTTAGCCTCCTAACCTAGCCTCCTTCCCTTACAGATTTGAAAATAATTTTTGGTAAATAAATTTTACTATCAAAATAATTATGTATAACGCTCAAGTTGGTCGCTAAATAGGCAAAATCTTTTACAGTATTGCTCATTGTGTTTGAATTTCAGACAATTATTTTGATGATTCAATAAAGTTATTTACAGATCTGTATCTAGCTAAATTTTTAGATACTTCAAAGTCATTTTTTTTTTATGTTAGAATATTTCGTACTCGTATAATTTCCTAATTATTAAAACATTATATACACATTATGAAAACATTATATCTCCCAATAACAAAATAAAAAAGGGTATTTAAGAATCAATCAGTTTTAATTCTTAAATTGCCCTTTTTTATTATTAAAATTGTAAAGAGTCCTTATTATTGTTATTTAACATTATAATGGTATTATTAAATTTCGTAATATTAAATTAATGCAACTCATGGTAACATTAAATTTGTGTTGTTACAGCTGCCCGATCACAAGTGTAGTAGCACGCACAAGCCGCGCATTCAGGAGACCTGCAACACCGTATCCTGCCCGATGTGGGAGACCGATAAATGGAGCGAGGTAAGAGAGAGAGAGAGAGAGAGAGAAAGAGAGAGCGCATGCATGATTCTAACGCGAGAGTAAAACGCGCCGGGGTACACGGCGGAGACACGGCGCGCCTCGCTCGTATCATTTAAGAGCGAAAACGTTAAGCCTTCTCGCCACAATTGCGGATTTAGGTGCACTCGCAGGGTCCAGTCGCAAACACACAAGCACACGTGTACTACCCACGTGTACGTACACACACACACATACACACACACATACATAGCACGACACAGCTTGCTATCTCAACTGCGAGTTTTACTGCAAAACGTACTGCCCAGATGGAAACAGGGTTAATGGTTGTGCGCGATTTGCACGCTCCCTTTACCCTTCGCGTAAATGTTACTGGGTTGTTACGCGTATGAAATGACCCATTCGGATAACTCGCGTCTAACAAAATCGTGCTTTTAAATCTCCTCAATTAATTATTATCTAAATCAAAGGTGTGAATGCCATTGGAAAAAGTATCTAATTGAATTAATTGGAAATGTGGTAGATTCAACAAAAAATACAAATCTCACAGAGAGAGTTTAACTATACGTATATGCACTTATATAGTTAAATCTATCAAATATTCTAGTCAAGACAACCAGAAATTCAATTACGATAAAAGGAATTCTGATTGACATGATCAGAATGCACTTTGTACGTATGTATTGTTCTTGTTGGAACAACATTTTTCTCGATGTAAATCAATCTAATAATAAGACTTTCAGAAACTAATCTCGTGAAACTGGCTTCTTTAATTATTCGACAAATTCTCTAATTGCAATTGATTTTAAGATCATGTGTCTCTTCTTCAATTCTTAGATAGACTGACCTAGTAAAAGAGATTATAATTGTATTAATACTTACGATTTTTCATAATAATAATCTGTTGGTATAGGAAAAAGTGTCAGAATGTTTTAATTATATATAAATACACATAATTAACGACTCAGATTATCTTAAAAGATTTATTTCAATTTCAATCTAAATTCTTTATCGATTTCTAAAAGCAGAAGTAATTGGAGACGAAAATAGCTGATAATGATGAAGCCGCTAATAGCAGTTGCGAAGTTAGCTTGAATCTATACGATGGCATTACCGATGTATCCGAAGATTTCACAATTAGCAAATTAAAGGTTCTCCTCTCAAATAATCTCGGCAATGTGCGCATTACTCAAAGCACGCGCGTTAATTTATCTGCAAATCCAGATTGCGGCGTTATTACACGTTATTCGGGGCACAAACGCGCGCGCAGCAAGGAAGCCTCTAATTATAAAACTCTGTTTCTCCATCGCATTGCCCCTTTCGACAAGGTTACAACGTACCCCGTGTGGGCGTTTAAGGGTAAAGCAAATTAACAACTGCGCGCGATTTGCACGACGCCGCGCGCTTGTGGCGACGGATACGTCAACGTGAATTACACGAGAACACGGGTCCTCCTCTTTCCCGCAGTCGCGCGATTTCGCGTCCGCGTCTCTCCGTTTCTCTAACGGAGAGAATGCGATTTTCTCGAAAAGCGCGCGTATATAATACAACCGCCATAATTGCACATAGACGATGGACCGACTGCTGCAGATAGATAAAGTCACCGTCCGACGAGAATGACGCACGCAAAGATCTTCATAAATAAAGGCAGCGGAGTTTTTTAAAAATTAATTTATAATACACACACTAAGAGAAAAAATTGATTACCACATTTTAATTATAATCTAAAGTCATTTTCTTGTGCCAATTATATATTTGTTTGACAGATCTATACATATATTTGTTTAGTAGAATTATTATTAACATTACAATAATAAGTATAATAATGGAAATCATAATCATTTTACCAATATATAAATTATTTGTACAAATATAGAGTCACAAATACCAAATAATTATTTGTGCAAATATATATATATATGTATATATATAATCACAAATACCAAACACTTCTCTCAGTATATCTATATAGGAATTCAGTATCATCAGATTTAATATTTTTATTTTATTCTTCTTTTATTTTTTCTTCATTATAATCTAGTTTATCACCTTTCCATTTTTTTAATTTTTGAATGTTTTTCACAAATAAGCTTTTTTGATATCTTTTTTCAATAATGAGACAAGTTTAATAACTTGGCTATAATTTTATTGATTTCACGACTATTTTTGATCAATCAATTTTTAAATAATTGTATATTTAAATTATAAAAAAAATTGTTCTTAGTTTTAGAAAAAACGTAAGTGACATTTTTTATGTATTTAGCGTATATTTTTTCTTTTTTTAAAAAGATTTTTTATAGGATCTCACTGCTTTTTGTTAAATTATAATAGAATTTAAATCTTCTAAAAATAAACACGTACATTATTATTTATAAAATTGTTACTATAATTTAATATACTTTCTCTCAATTTTAATAGTTTATTGATTAAATTTTTTTATTCATTTATTTGTTCTAAGAAAAATATGTATGCACTCTTAGCATTTCGAGGTAAATGACATGTCTCAACTTTTAAATTGTTTACGAATATCTATTTTATACCTTTAGTTGTTGCAATATATTTGTTATGTCCATTGTTTATGTTTCCATGATAAAAAATTGCACTGTTAACTTTATAAATATCAAGAATATGTATTTTTGATGTATATATGGATTTAATATTAAGATTTGTAATCTTTGTAACTTTTTTATTATTAACTTAAATAATAATAATTGAAAAATGAGTATACGTTTGGTCATTGTTACATTAGTCTTTTCAAGTAAAGTAGTGTTACAATTTTTGCATAATTTTTGTACATTATTAATATATTGACTGCACCAATTTTATTCGCAATAGTCGCAATCGAAAGTTCGTATCGACATTATATCAGAAAATGTTGTTAGATTTTGTATTGCTGTTATAATTTCTGAGATATTTGAATTAAAAGTATGTTTGACTTAAGAATTTCAGATAAAGCTATGGTAGCGTCACGACATTTGCGCAATAAAGTAACACGCAGACCACGCAGTCACGCGGTGATAACTTTTTTTTATGTACTTGGCGTCGCGCCGCTACCGCGTCGCTTGATAAAAT